TTACCTTCTGCTTCTGCTTCCTTGACTGGTATGCTCCCACTATTGCCATTCAGCTAAACCCATGTGTTTTTCTTATAATCAACATGTCTTTCTTCTGAACCTGTATGTTTTCCTATTCAGCATGTCTACTGCTATTTAATTCAACTATGTGGCCTGTTATCAGCATGTCTATTTCATTTCATTAGATCCATGTGCTTCATGATTATTGTTCTCAATCAACATGTTCACTGCTGATCAATTAGACTCTATGCTTATTTCTATTCAATTTGACCTATGTGTTTCCTTATAATCAGCATGCCTTTATTTTGCTTAAGCAAACCTGCGTGTTCACTGCAATAAGCATGTATACTTTTGTTCAACTTATGTGTTTACTACAATAGCATGTCTACTTCTGTCTGATTGAACCTATGTGTGTCCTGCTCTCAATCTGTTTATTCCTGTTTTAGCTAGACCTATGTGCTTCCATATGAACCAGACCCATGCCTGTTTCTTCTCCACTAGCATGTTCTTTCTATATTATGTTCACTCTGACCAATATTGCTCCTAAGCCCTGCTATCCCTTTGCATGTGAGTGTATGCTCATCTAGTAACAGTTAAAAAACTAAGTTGAATGTTAGTCTTTGCTTTGATGTTTTATGACTATGTTCTGCGTGCTTTTGGTTTGCTGAACCTTTGTTCAGAATGTTTCCTAACTGTTTTTCACTCCTGATATGTCTTCACCTCTAAACTGTTTCACACTTCTCACATGTTTTCACTTCTAAAACTATTTTCACTCCTAAAATGTTTTCCCCTGCTAAACTATGCTCACCTCTGAACTGTTTTACTTCTGGACTGTTTCTTAAAACCGTTTTCCACTCTTTCAAGCACTATCTTCCACTCCTACTCTTAGAATGCTTAGGATCCTACCCCTCCAGTGTGTGTACCGCCTAGGAATCCATGAGATTCCTCTGAACTCTGGCATACTGGGGCTGGCCTCTCCACACTGCACAAATAACTACTTCTTTTTAAAAGGATCTTGGTGTGAGCATTGCCAGGGTCCCTGAGGCCCTTAGGAATTTTGACACATCAGGATACCCTCTTTTGGATACCATGAGACTATGGCACTTTGGACTGTTTGAAGGCCTGGTTTTTCCAGGTTCACGTTGGGCCTATTCAGGCTCCCTATCGCATAGCTTGGTTTATTCTGTAATTCATTTGCTTTATGGTCTGTAAAAATTCTTGTAAACAGATATTGGGAAAATTAGTAAAAAGGGAGGGATTCTTATATAATTTTTGTGGGGAAATCGGGTAGAAATCATGCCCTTAGATTATTATGACTATTTGCATGCATTAGAGCTCGTTTTCTTAGGATCATTTCTTGCATTAGATACCATGCCTATAGGTTATTGCAATGTTTGTTATTTAGATACCATGCTTGTATGTTATCGCAATGTTTGTTCATTTAGATGCCATGCCTATAAGGTTTGAAAAATTAATCCTGCATTCTAGATACCATGCCTATAGGGTTTAAAAATTATTTTTGCATTTTAGACACCATGCCTATAAGTTTAAAATTAGTCTTTACATGTCGTCAAAGTTCAAATCAGTTTTCTACATGTCAATAAGTTTTTAAGCTAATTACTGCATTTAGATGCTATGCCTATAAGATTTTTTAAAACCAATTTCTGCATTCTACAAGTCTAAAATCAGTCATTACACCTAGACATCGTTACTGTAGGATCCAAACTGCCTGCTTAAAATTGTTTACTGGTTTACTGCACTCTTGATTAATGACTAGATACCATGCTCGTAGGACATCATTGATATATGCCTAGGCAAGCCTGTAGGGCGATTGAAATCTTGCAAACTGTAAAACTATGCTTTTTGTTATTTGCGAACTGTCCGGATTCAGTAAGCCTTAAAATAAGTAGGCAAACTAATTAGGCCTCTATTGTCTCACTTTAACACGATGCTGCATACATTCTATTTGCTCACCTAGATATCCTGCTCTAGGACCTTTTGAAATATCTAAAATCGTGCTGTTTGAGACGTGCTGTTGTTTGCTTATTTGTGGAGGTAAATGTGAGCCCCTTAATTGTTCTTTACTTGATAGTCCTAATTCTTTTAATTGTCGCCTAGATTTTTCTCCTTTAAGTACCTTAGGAAAGTCTAGAACTGCCTAAATTAGATGTTCTAAATACCTCTAGGGCCATAAGGAAGGGACGAGTAATGCACGCATAGAGTTCATTTAATTAAAATCACTAACATAACCACTAAGGGGAGGGTGATTGGGTAGTAAAAGGATATGATGACCTGTGCGCTAATGCTACGTGTAACCCCTTTAGTTGAGGAAGGTTTACCGGGTATTGTACAGATGTGATCCTGTAGGCTAAAAAACCTAGGACCCCTTTTACCCCTTGTTTTAAATGTAATACCAATTTGTCTAATTTTCTTTATCTGTTTAAAAGACTAATTCACATAATTTGAGTTCGGCCGGGACCCACCGTTGTGGACCATGAGGGGTGCCTAACACCTTTCCCTCAAGGTTATTTCGAGCCCTTGCCCAATCTCTGGTAATACAAACCTGGTTTTATGAGTTACTTGCTTTAGGTGCTTTAACGCATCTTAAACCCGTTAGGTGGCGACTCTTCAAGTTCAAATACCCAATTCCCGAAAGAAAATGAGTTGTTCCCAATGAATGTCAAAACCCGAACTCCGCGAGGAAAAAAGGGGGCGCGACACCTTTCATATGGCGATGGCCGATAGCCGTAAGGGCGTTAATTCGAGCGAGGTCGAAGTTGATTGTGAATTCGAGCAAGGTCGAACCTTCCTTTCATATGGCGATGGCCGATGGCCGTAAGGGCGTTAATTCGAGTGAGGTCGAGGTTGTAACCCATTGCGTTATTTCTATTGGGGAACATTAGTCGTCGTCGTGTTGTTTACGCGTGCGTCGGGCAAGTCCCAATTTGCTTAATTTCGTTTTCATTTGGAGAATACCATGCGTTTCCTGGGTGAGTCCAATTTGCTCAATTTCATCTTCATTTGGAGAATATTGTGCGTTTTATGGGTGAGTCCCAGTTTGCTCAATTTCATTTTCATTTGGAGAATACTGTGCGTTCCCAGGGTGACTCCTAGTCTGCTTATTTTGGTTTTATTGGAGATTATTTTTTCAATAATCGACCTGTATCGAGCCATTCCTGTTATTTGTAATATGGTGCCGCTTAGCGGGTTTTGCTCGGTCGATACTTGCGAGATGGCACAGTACAGAACCTTTTCCTGGGGTATTTTGGCGACGTTCGTCCCTTGCTTGCGTACCTATGTGAGTACTCGTGCTGCATTTTCGAACTAACAAAAGGATGATAAGATAAAACAAAACGAATTTGTCTGTTACCTCGACCTGTCAATTCGGTGAAAGGAGGAGCGACGCTGTAGGGTTACTCGCTCCGCCTTGTACTCGATTAGTGGTTTCTAATTTGGCAGCCATGTTTGGCTTCGTCATTTGATCGCGTCTTGGCTTCTCGTGGGTTGGACTTACATTACCCGTTGGGGTGTTGAGAACGAGTCCCAGTCCGATATGTGTAACAATAAGGGAAACATGTTATACTTTGCTCATAAATCACCCAGTGCGTGTGGGTATGAAAATAAGGCAGGATACGCCCGCTATTTCAAAGGTGTCACTCAGTGGGCTATCATTTCTTCCTAAGAGGGGGGAGTACGGGCCGGTATACAAGATGAATACGTCACATGGGGTTGTGGTCATGCCAAACGCATAGCGACTGTGATCCTACTTTAGACGTGCATATGACATGCTAAGCCCATCGCTCTGGGTGAGGTGTGGGTTTTGCATAGACATCGATCGCAATTTCTATTTTATGTAGAGATCTGACCTAGATTGGAACGGTCATCTCAAAAGCTTATCTACTATTTCTTCGAGTTGGTGCTTATACCGAGATAAGGAGGTTGTGACAGCTCGGAAGCAATACTTGGCTAGTCCTAAATCTAAAGGAAACTAAAAAAATTTGGCTAAGAAATCCCCACAGACGGTCCAAATTGTTTGACCAAAAAGTGTTGAACCTTTTAGTTAAATCAATTAATGATGAAATAAAGAGTAAATTTTAGCCAAACATAATCAACTTTAAATCTAAGCATATTGGATACGAGAATCAAATGAGGCTGAGTTTATGTAATATTTCTCAGAATGGTAAAAAGGCATCAAATATAAATGATAAGCTTACATCTTTGACATATTGTTGTGCATTTGTAAAAGTAAAGAAGATAGGGAAATAATCTCGTTAATAACTATGAGATCTAGCTTTATTGATTCAACACTGGTGTTTACAAAGATTTGTAATCTGTGACCTAGACTTCTTGCTTTGTTCATGAGAGGTCTCCTCCAAATCTTCTCTTGGTTTTTCCCTTCTGGGATCACCCTCCTTTCTGCTTTTCCTTCCCTATATATATTACTCACCTACCGCTTTATCCAACAATCCTTTACCAGCATACCCCTTTTTGACTACCTTACTCTTTACTTGCTCAAGTATGACCGTATATATTCTGCTGTGCAAGCCTCTTCGATGGCTCGATCTCGGCAGTGGCCGAGACGCTCGTCGCCATTACGCCTTACGGGTGCGTCCACGGCTTGGTTAACCCCTTACCATTCCCCTTAACGGGGGAGTAGAATAGGGTCGCCTTATTGGATTCACCTTTTAGCGAGCTCGATGGGTAATCCACTTGTGGTCAGATTTTGACAAGTACCGCCAAAACTTATAGTCTAGTGGTATCAACATGAGTCTTCAGGTGTGGAGTTTATATTCATTTTCGCTTTCCCTTTCTTTTGCGTTCTAATCCCCTAATGTAATTGGAAATTGGAAAAGAAAAAAAGAAAAGAAAAGAAAAGAAAAGAAGACCAAACTGTAACCTATTGAAGTTAAGTGAATTATTTTTACAACTGCAACAAGTAAGAGGGGTGGTTCTTACAATTAACATTCTAACAAGCACTCCGTTTCTATAAGGGGTCAAAATACCGCGGAATACAATTATCCGTTGCCAAACTTCTCCCGGAGAGTAGCTGAAGTATTAAAATCCAATGGCGGTTCTTCTTTCTCTGCTCTCCATATCCCCAAAGGTAATGGCTTCCTCCGTCGACACGAGCCAAAGACTTCCCTATACCCCCCACCGTACTCCTCCTAAGAAGCCCCTAACCTCTGATTCAACTCTATCCTTTTCCCCTTCTACCTCCCGGTCCAATATTTCAGTTTCGGACCTTCTTAAACGTGAAATTCCTAAACCAACCCAAGGTACTAATTTCTTTTCTTTTTTTTTTCCTTTTGTGCATTTTTTGATATGTTACTTGTATAACTGTAATTTTTCTATATTGATTTTGTTTATGTTATTTTTTTCATGTAAATAGTGAAAGAGGATGAAACCTATATGGGATACGACATATGGTTACCAAGTGCACCCAAAGTTGAGAAGCCTCGTTCGGTGTTTAATGCAGCCTCTCTTGCTTACATTGGAGATTGCATCTTTGAGGTTTGTATTCACTCTCTTACTTGTTGATTATATTCTCTTTTTTCTTTTTGTATAAAGTTTCTTGGATAATTAGCTCATCAATAAAATTCTTGATAACTTTTTGCATTAATATAGGATAGAGAATTAAGTTCGACTTGACTATTAGGTCCAGTAGCTATATATATGCCACTCGTGAGACAAGTTCAAACATGTTTTACAAGATGCGAAACAGCATCCAAGATGGGCAGAGGCGGATCTGTGATTTCTACGTGGGTGCACCACTAAAGAAAGGAGAAAAAAAGTTATTTAGTGGGAATTGATCCCTCTTCCTTTAGGTAAATAGCTTAGCGTTCAACCAAGTACACCATTCAGACTTTTTGGAGCGTGGGTGCTAGCAAACAATATTAGATCAGTTCTAGGAAATATGTATATAAAATACCTAGTTTGGCAGAAAAACTATAGGTTCACGTGCACCATAATTTGGGGAAAACTAGCTATATCCAATCTTGGTTGGCCTTTCGCCTAAATCTGCCCCTAAAGATGAACAAACTTAGGTTGAACGTTCGCATCCGATATTTGGCATTAGCTAAAACCCCTCTCCCAGCTAACTCTAAACAAACAAAACAACTGCTCCTCAATCTAAAGCAAGTTGAGGTTGGCTATATGAATCTTAACTGACAATGTCGTTCCTTTTAAGCTTATCTCGGACCAATAACATACAAAGTCTCCCAACTAACAGCTTGTTTGGATGGTTGTTCCCCATTGTATCGTATTGTATTGTTATCCCAAAACAATGTTTGTTTTGATTGTTTCATTAAAATTGATTGTATTGTATTGTTAAATCCATTGTTCCGGAACAATGAAAAGTCCCCTTTTTTGAAACAGCCGATTTGGTGTGGTGAGATTGTTTCCTATTTTTCTTTCCAATTATACCCTAACTTATTACTCCACAATTCTATTTTACCCTTTAGCTTTTTTTGCTATTTTAACTCCAAATCTCCAACCTATGACCTACTTTGTTTTTTTCCAGAACTTCTGCCGCCAACGTTAAAGGTGTTTTGCCGCCTTCTGTTTTTATTTTTTCTCTTAATTTGCTTTTAACTCAATTCTAATTAGTTGTGCTCCTTTATTTTGCCTTCTTTTGTCTCTCTCCTTTGTTTTGCTTTCTTAAGGTGTTTTGCCTTCTTCTGTTTTTTTTTAAATTTATTTTTATGCATAATTTTTTATAAATTTAATATTTAAACAATTGAGGGTATTTTAGTAAACTTATCAGTTACAGTACAATATGATACAGCCAAACCAACCAGCAAAATATTATTTAACAATAACAAACAATACAATCTATCCAAACATTGTATTCATAAAACGAAACGATACAATACAATACAATACAATACAATACATTACAAAATGATGGGGAACAATGATCCAAACAGAGTGTAAGTCTATTTTTGTTTTTTTAAATCTTCCACTATGAATATTATACATTTTCCCCCTTTTTGGGTCATACGGATAAGATTTAGAAGCAGTGTTGTCAAAGGCAAAAAGCGCTAAAAAGCGATCCAGGTCTATTAGGGCTTTAAGCGCAAAGAGCAATTAAAGTGTGGGCTTTAGTTAAAAAAGGCGCAATGAAGAAAAAAATAGAAGTATATATGTAATGCAAGAAAAAAAGGTAACAATTTCACTCATATTGATTTCCTTAAAAATTAATAATATCTTTTAACCAATATTTATTGCTTTGTACCACTCAATTGAAGATAGAACTTATTGGCAATAAGGCGTGGGCCTTAGTGCCTTGCCTACACTAAAGCGCAACCTAAGTGAGGTGAAGCGCATACCATGAGCTTTTTTGAGCTTTAGGGCTTGAGCGCGCCTCAAATGAGCCTTTGACTGCACTGTTTAGAAGGGTATTGAAGCTTAGTGTTGCGACCAAACACACTCACACAAGTATACGTGGTCGTCAAGTAATAAAGTAGTGAGTAGAGTATCGTTCCCACGAAGACTTATGATTAACTTTTGACTGATTCAAACTCAAACAACTTATCTATTCAAGAGATTTCTCACAAAATGTATAAGTGACTAATTTACTACCTAAAATTATCAAGTAATGAAATAACTAGAAGTCAACCACAACACTTCAACAATTTCGGATAACAATCAATAGGAGATCATATTCTAGGGTCACAAGTTAGCTAACAATCATGTTGCGTTCTTGGCTTAAAATGACTAATTGATTTATCTAGATTGTTGATTGACAGGGTTGATGTTACTCATAAGAATCTGTCAAGTTCTTACTCGCCTATTCAAGCTAACTTAATGACTATATGTCTATAGAATTAAGATTAACAAGAATGCATTTACAATTCCTGTATTTCAACCAAGCAAGGCAATTAGGTATATGTCTATCCTAATTGCGAATCCGTTCCCCGATGCCCGGGTTCAAGAACCTACTCTATTTAGTTCTATATGCAATCTAGAATTCCCACTTTCGAGTTCAACTCTAGATTCGTAGATAGTATTTCATTGTTAGCTACTCAGCAAAATAATTAAAAACAAAATTAAATAAACAACCCAATATGATAAAACCAAATTCGTCAATCTAAACTTCAAACATTAACATTCATGTAGCACCCATGACCCCAGAACAATAGGGTTCTTAGCCACTCATGTTTATACAATCATCAAAAATAATGTTTTCAAACATAAAATCAATGAATACTAGAAGTAGAATGGATGAATTGATCAAATCCATGCTCTTGAGTGTTTCGTACTTTTGTTCCTCTCTCAAAGTCACGTCCGCCCCTTCAAAATAGGTTTAGGTTGGCTTTTATATGAGTTAGGGACGTCTTGGGGTCGAAATAACCGAGTCCTAGTCGAAACAGGTCAACTCCATGTTTTGAGCGTCCAGGGCAGCGTGGGGCGCTGGCCCTGGCGCTCAACTTCTCAAACTTCTGTAAAGTGCGCCCTCAAATTTCACTTTCGCCTTTTCTTCCCAATTTCGCTCCCCATTTCGTCCCAAATTGCATCTGAATGATTCCTACACATAGAAGTACCACAAATTAGCACAAATCATCATATTATACATCTCAAATCTTCGAGATATGAGCAAAATTGAGGCAATACACATCAAAATGTGCATACATTAAGCCAATTATCAACACCCCACACTTAGACTCTTGCTCGTCCTCGAGCAATGGAATTATATTAACACCCTAAAACTTACCTATCACTATGAAAGAGCACTTCACAATTAGTTCAATCAAACACCCTACGTTTGGACTATGATCGATATCGGCAATTAAGCATGAACACACGAATTTCACATTCTTCCCGTTTTTAAACTAAGCCCAAATATACTCAATGTTATTCAACCAACTCAAGCAACCTCTCCACAACCACGTTACCTCAAGAGACGACTCGTTACCACTAAGCATCCTCAACTCATGCACTTACTCAACAAAAGAAAGTGTACAACATCACCAATCCGTCATGAGACCAAGTACCCTCACCACAAACAAAAGAGTGAATATAATACATTCAAATATGACATTGAACATAAATTAAGGACATCACACAATTGAACAAAATTCACTCGCTCTCACAAAGAATTCATGTGTATCCCGTGGTCGTACCATAAGCTTGCCCATAGTGTACATATCTACTAATCTAAGCTAGCCAAATCTAGGATCAATTAGGACTTTAAGGTTGTAATGTAGGCTAAGGGACGTGTAGGATATATTTAGGAATAGTGAATAACCCTCCTAAGCACTTTAATACAGTACACTCACAAATCAAGCACATTTTCTTTTCAACCCATTCACTTGTCATACACCATATATAACATAGCCCTCTTTTCAATTAAGCACCTATATGGTTTCACTAGCACCACTTTGAAGGATTAGGAGATGTGTGTCTTTCTACATTATTTGAACTTTTATTTGTTTTTTCTTGCAAAATTTTTCCTCTTTTTTTTTTCTTTTTTTTTCCACACACTCCATACATTGAAGTTCATAGGCTAGTGACCTTCTTTCACAATTTTAGTGCACCTTAAGAGCCCTTGAAAAGAGGGCTATGTTATATATGATCGTCTACACAGATCATTTAGCTATCAGATACTTGTTTGAAAAGAAAGACGCCAAACCGAGGTTGATTCGTTGGGTCCTCCTCTTGCAAGAATTTGACTTAGAAATCCGAGATCGAAAAGGGACGGAGAATCAAGTGGCTGATCACTTGTCCAGATTAGAAAATCGGAGCCATGTAGCTGAAGGAGGATCATTCAAAGAAACATTTCCTGATGAGCAGTTATTAGCAATCACCTGAAGTGAAGCCCCATGGTATGCAGATTATGTGAATTTTATTGCAAGCGGGGTGACGCCACTAGAATTGACACCCCATAATAGAAGAAGGTTCCTACATGATGTGAGGCTCTACATGTGGGATGAGCCATTCCTATATCGGCAGTGCGTAGATTAGTTGGTACGAAGGTGTGTCCCTGAGGAAGAGATAAATGCAATATTGCATGACTGTTATGCTTCGCCATACGGAGGTCATCACGGTGGGGATAGAGCTTTTTGATGTTTGGGGGATTGATTTCATGGGACCGTTCCCATACTCTAATGGTCACAGGTACATCTTGGTGGCGGTCGACTATGTTTCTAAGTGGGTGGAGGCCATTGCTCTTCCTACTAATGACGCAAAGGTAGCGGTAAACTTTGTAAAGAAGCACATCTTCACACGTTTTGGGACTCCAAAAGTGTTGATAAGTGACGGAGGAACTCACTTCTATAACAAATTGTTGAATAATGTTCTTGCAAAGTATGGAGTTAAGCAACAAGGTTTCCACTGCCTATCACCCCCAAACGAGTGGTCAAGTGAATGTTTCAATCAGAGAGGTAAAGCGGATTCTGGAGAAAACAGTAAGTGGAAATAGAAAGGACTGGGCCGGGAAGCTGGACAACGCATTATGGGCATATGGAACTGCATACAAGACTCCTATAGGTACTTCTCCGTATAAGTTAGTT